GAAATATATACAAGGTTTGTAAAATATAAAAAAATATGCGATCTAGGAGCAGAAAAGTGGAACAAATTAGGGAATTCACAAAATCAGCTGTTTCCCTAGTTTTTCATGTTCAACTTGGATATTTTTCACTATTTTGTAAAACAATGTTTTCCGTTGAATATGGATTGAAAAGGCGGATCTTTTGTTGCTCATATCGACATATTTTGAGAAGAAAAAACACACTATCGGTTTTTTATCAAACAAAAAGCCATTTGCGATGGTCAATTTTAATTTTAGCGAAAAATGCCTTTTGTAATTTTTTCTTAGAATTAAAAAATAAAATTATAGTATTTACTACTTGAAAAGTTGAAACTAATTCCTCCCAAATTTTTGAAAAATATTTCACCCTTTGTGTTTATGTACAAAACATGTTTAATGCTGGACTGTATAATTTCAATAATTGAAAATGCTGTGTCCGAAAAACAACGGTACTCATTAAAGTGGTTTCTCTGTAAATAAAAGTAAATTTCGGATTACACTACAACAAAGACAATGAAAGATGTCTCAATTAAACATTTTTTAAACTAATATGTTTTTAAACATGTTTTTAAAGGTACCGTTGAGCGGGCGGATGATCACTTGAAATTACAAAACAGTCCCTTTCAGGCAAATTTTCTACAAAGAAAAAAATGACTCCAAGTGAAAGCTTAAAATAAATATAAATAAAAAAACGTGGTCAGACCGTATATTGATTCTTAAAAGTAATCTTTATTTCCTAATTTATTATAAAAATACCTCCCCTCCCCCCATTTTTATCATAAATAACATGATTCGGCAGAATCTCTTAACGGAGTTATGATTAAAGTTAAGAATTAAGCAGAGCGTTGAATATTAATGTTCTTGATTTTTGTTTTGTTTTTAAAATCCATCCTGGAACAAAAAATTTTAAATAACACATTATTTTATTATTTGTGATACCGAAAAAAAATTCATTAATTTTTTAAAACTGTTACCTTTAAAAAATAAACCAAACCACAAATAATCAGAATTTAGATATTTTAATTATTTTATCCTTTGGCAAAATAATAAATGAATTTTTTACACCCTGTGGCTGTAAGCAAGATAATGAATGCTGCGGGATTTCTATTCTAACTTTACTCTGGGTATGGTTTAAAGAGACTCATTCTAACTTTACTCCGGGTAGGTTTAAAGGGACTCAGCCTAACTTTATTCCGGGAAGATTTAAAGGGACTCATCCTAACTTTACTCCGGGTAGGTTTAAGGGACTCAGCCTAACTTTACCCCGGGTAGGCTTAAATGGACTCATCCTAACTTTACTCCGGGTAGGCTTAAAGGGACTCAAATCCTAAATTTACTCTAAGTAGGCTTAAAGGGACTCATATCCTAACTTCACTCCGGGGAGGCTTAAAGGGACTTATCCTAACTTTACTCCGGGTAGGCTTAAAGAGACTCAGCCTAACTTTACTCTGGGTGGGTTTCAAGAAACTTATTCTAACTTTACTCCGAGTAGGCTTAAATGAGTATTTCAAACTAAACAATATTGAAAAGATTTGTTGAATAAACCCAAGGATTCTTGATTTTGGAAGCAGTATTGATTCACAACAATACCCCTCAAGCTTTGTCTGATCAAGTATAGCATTAAATATTCATGTTTCCCATTTTGAAAACTGATAATTTTTATCTGTGGTTTCTCTACTAAAGTGACTCATGCATTTCTTTTCAAGGGGGGCACAATGTTGCCAAGGGGGGACAAAAAAAATGTTCCCCCCCCCCCTTCACGAATGCTCTTGTGCTCTGTTTTAAATTTATCTTTTTTATTATGTTATAGGGTTGGAGAGGAAAAGTAAGATCCTCTGACAAACCAGAAGTTGCATATCATATATATATTCCTATTGATATCTTATCCAGCTTCAAAGAAAAAACTCTCTACGAACAAGGCGTTTTGAATATTTATAGATTTTAATAAACTTTAATAATAATAATAATATGTATGGAATTTACTATGGAATAGTCTAATCAGTTACTGTGTATGAGCTTTATCTAAAATATTGATTTTACAACTTTATTTTATGAAAACTATGTTAGACAACTAAGTA